ATTTCATTAAAAATCAAAATAACATAAATAAAAAGGAATTAGAACAACAAAGTTGAAATACATAAGGGTCAAAACTACCAAAAACACATTAAATGGCATCCATTAATGTATTACTTCAATATACGCATGTGTATGTTTACTGAAGTACTATTCACAATAGCAAAGACATGGCATAAATGCAGATGCCCATCAATGACAGACTTGATAAAGAAAATGTGGTACATACACACCATGGAATGCTATGCAATCATACAAAAGAATGAAATTATGTCCTTTGCAGGAACATGGATGGAGCTGGAAGCTATTATCCTCAGAAAACTAACATAGGAACAGAAAACCAAATACTACATGTTCTCACTTGTAAGTATGAGCTGAACCATGAGAACACATGGACACAGGGAAGGGAAAACACACACTATAGCCATACCTTGGTGATGAGTTGATAGGTACAGCAAACCACCATGGCACACGTTTACTTATGTAACAAACCTGTATGTGCTGCACATGTATCCCAGAACTTAAAATAAAATATAATAAATTGTTTAAAAAATTTTTCAAGATTTTCACCATGCCAGGAACAAAGAATCTGAGAATTAGATTTAGTAGTAGGAAGTGATGGGAGATATGTTGTGGTAATTCGATTCTCATTGTATCTATGTTTGTGTGTGCATGTGTTACCGGAAGGTACAATATGTTTTGTATGGCTTGAGTGAAAGCTAAATGCACAATAATGAAATATAGCTGAGCAAAGCCATTTATGGGAGAGCTAAAGAAAAGTTCTTCAATTAAGTTGCTTTTTAATGCTCTAATCTGATTTAGAAATGAAGCCCTAAAAATTTACAAACAGGTGTGTCCATTATAGCCTTTAGAGTTTCTCTCTTGAATGTTAAAATGTTAACATCTCTAACTAGGCTTTACTTGGAACATAGGGAGCAAAAATTTAAAACTAAGCTCTTGAAGACCCATGCAGAGTGCTGTTATTTTGAACTGTCAATGAAAAGGAAAAACTCAGTCTGCATATGTAAGCTTTGTAGGTTTCAAAGATGATATTTTCTTTCAAAGTTAAAATATCTGGCCTTATGCTTCCAGCCATGATGGAATAATGAAATTGAAAATCTAGGAAATGAGGGGTCATGATTCCTGAGAAAAGGTAAAGAAGCAGGGTGAATTCAATGAACATCCAGTGTACAGCCTGAAGGCAGGTCTGAGGCTAAAGAGCAGTGAGGGGGAACCCAGACAGAGCTGGCATTTACTCTGAGTTAAGGTAGAGATCAGAGTTTATGGAAGGCAAAAGGGCTAGAGATTGCAAGAACAAATACCAGAGATGAAGGAGCTGCATTGAGATAGAGCTCTGAGAATCTGCTCAAGGGTCCCCTTGAGTCTGGTTGAGTACTGATAATGCAATTGTGTGAGAGGAAACTACACAACTCTGAAGAAAGAACCTCAGTCTGAACAAGTGTCAGAGCTCACGTCGAGGTAGTCGTAATTCATATTTCTACCAAGCAGTGTGATTACATGGAGCATCTGCAAGAATCATCATATAGTTATCACCATAGTAGTAACCCTAGACTAACTGGCACTCTGGATCAATTCTAATAAAGGTTAAAATCAAGCTTCAGAAGGATCAAACTGATTCAAACTAGCCCAACTGTGCCAGAACAAAATCTATCGCCACTTTAAAAAATACCAAAACATCCAGCAGCAAATAACGTATTATCTAAAAAGTCCAATAATTAATAAAAAGATAGAAAAATAAGGATAATAAACAATAGAAAAACAAATTAAAAGACTAAAAAATAACAGATATAATAGAATTTGCAGACAGAAATCTTTTTTAAAAAGTACTATAAATATGTTCCACTTGTTCAAGAAGATAGACAAAAAGAGTAATATAAAATAATAGAAGAAAATGTGTAAGCTACAACAAAGAACCAACTGGAAATTTAAAGAAAAAAATCTGCAATAAAAAATTACAATGCATTGTATTGCCACCATATTAAACACTGCAGAAAAAAAAAAGTAAATTTGAAGATGTAAAAATAGAAACTATCATATCATGTTTATAAATAACTTTACTCTTTCAATTCAATTAAGACAAATAACATTTAAAAATGGGCAATAGATTTGATTGACACATTTCTACAAGGAATAAATATGAATGGCAGGCAAATAAACACATAAAAACATCTCCAACATCATTAGTTATAAAGGAAAACATAAAAGAAAACCATCGCAATGTGATACCAAAGACATCCACTTGAATGGCTAAAATTTAATAAGACTGACAATACAAAGTTGTTGAAAATGTGGAGCAATTTAAACTCCTATACCTTACTAGTGGCGATGTAAAGTATTGTAACCACCTTGAAAAACAGTTTGTCAGTTTCTTCTAAAGTTGAACATACCATCCAGTAATCCCCTTCTGATATATTTATCCAGTAGAAAATGAAAGCCTATGTCCACACAAAACTTGTACTGACGTATTTATGCCGGTTTTATTAAGAATAAAAAACTGGAAACAAGCCAAATGTCCATTAGCTGATAAACACATAAACAAATTATGGAATATCCGTAATGGATACCACTCAACAATAGAGGAATAAATGGCTGGTTTATAAAAGCATGGATGACTCTCAGAAGCAGTATGCTAATGAAAGAAATCAGGTATAAAAAACTACACACTATTTGAGGTGCAGGAAGGAGACTGATTAGAAAATAGCAAAAAAATAAGTTTTTAGAAGCTATAACAATGTTCTATGAAAACACTGCCCAATAGAAATACAGCGCCAGCCACATATGTAATTTGAATATTTTACTAGCTATATTTAAAAGTAAAAAAGGTAAAATTAATTTTATTTTATCTAATATATCAAAATATAGTCAATATATAATTAACATAAGTTAATGAGATATTTATGTTTTTATACTAAGCCTTTGAAATCCATTATTACTATTATATTTTTACTTATACCTTACTTAATTAGGACTAGCCTCATTTCAAGTGATCAGTAGCTACAAGTGGCTAGTGGCAACCATTTTGGACAGAGTAATCTCTGTCATAATTGTGGTGGTTGTTATGCAACTGTATGCATTTGTCAAAACACTGTGTAGCCTCATTTGTATTCCAGGTATTCCACTATTAACAATGTGACACAGTTCCTTTGACCTTAGTTTCCTTTCCAAAATTACAGCAGTTGCTCCATATGTCAATTGTATATTTAAAGTTGGTACTATTTGTTGCACGTAAATTATCTCTCAACAAAGCAATTTCAGTGAAAAAACCTGGGAACAGAAAGTTAAACATGGCATGTTTTCACACTTATGAGGAAACTAAAAATGTTGATCTCATGGAAGTAACAAGTAGAACAGAGGATAGTACAGGCTGGGAAGGGTAAGTAAAAGGGTATAGGGACAGATCTGTTAAAGGATACAAAATTATAGCTAGATAGGGGAAGTAAGCTGTAGTGTTCTATAGCACTGTAGGATGACTACAGTCAACAATAATCTATAGTTTCAAATAGCTAGGAGAATATTGGATGTTCCCAACACAAAGCAATGATAAATTAGGGGGATAATGGATATACTGATTATCCTGATCTCATAAATCCACATTATATGTATTCAAATATCACTGTGTAACCCATAAACATTTACAATACCATATGTCGATTAAAAGAATAAAATATTTAAAAAGCAGTTAAAGTAGTTGATTTGTGGGTTTGTTAACATAAAAGACCTTGTCTCCCACACTTGAAGGTGAAGCTCAAGGATACAGAAGAAACACAGCAACAATCAAACAATAAACAAATCCCTGTGAGAGGACTGTTATGATCTAACTGGGAAAGCAAGAGTGATACATATTATATTACACAGCAATCCATGATATCATATATAATACAGAACAAGCATGGTTCACACTAGAATTCCAGCAAATTGGCTATGGCAAGTAATATCACAGATTCTGAGCTGGAACAACAAGAGACAAAGAAAGAAATTGGCAGGTTATTTTTCTGTGAATCTTGTCACTCAGTCCTTTTGTAGCTCAATGCAAGAAATATAGTAATCAGGACAACTCATTTGTATCCCAGGTATTCCACTATTAACTATGCAACACAGTTCCTTTGACCTTAGTTTCCTTTCCAGAATTACAGCAGTTGCTCCATATGTCAATTGCCTCATACATACTCAATGCTATGTTAGACACAATACATCATTTATTTCTCTCTACAATGTAATTTGGTAAGTATGATTACCCAAATTTTATAGACAAGTAAACTGAGACTTAAAAATGTTATTTGCTCAAGATTGCAATCTATAATAGCAAGTATATAACTGAATTTAAACAAAGACTCTTCTATTTCAAAAAGTCCATGCACATTCTACTGAATAGTATTACCTCTCAAAGTGGAGTTTAAACTAGATGTTCACCAAGATGGATGATGCTTGTAGCACAGAGCAGTGATTAAGAACTCAAATTCTAAGAGCATACAAGACAAGGCTGAAATTCCACCTTTGCTTTTCAAGGCTGCAATCTTGAATTTTACTTAACCAGTCAGTCTCAGTTTATTCACCTGTCTGGTATGCAACGGTTAAATGCAAAGACATTAGAGTCAGACTGCATGGGTTAATTGCTTAACATTTGTGCTACCTTGAGAAAGTTACTTAACCCGTTCCTCAATTTCCTCCATTTAAAAAGGGAGGCATAATAATAATATCTACAAAGGTTATCAGGACAAAATATACTATTAAAAGGTAAGCATTTAGAATGGTAGCTGGCTTTACAAATGTTAGCTGTTATCATGGTGCTTTAGATGAATTAAGAGACCACTTTAAGTTCTAATGTTCTATGATTCTCTAATTTATAAAATACTGTGCAAACAACAGAAAACCAACTTTACTCTAAAATAACCCAGTTTGGGACTTTGCTTTAAACAATTCTAAAGTAATTCTCAAAGTTTGTAAGTCAAGAGAGTGGCTTTTAGTCCTTAAAGGTCTAAATCAGCTTTGAGCAGTAGCAGTACCAGAGCCAATGAGGTTTATCCCAGGCACAATTATTGCTAATTGAAAAGTTTACAGAACTAAAGCTTTATTATTATTATTATTATACTTTAAGTTCTGTGATACATGTGGAGAAAGTGTAGATTTGTTACACAGGTATACACGTGCCATGGTGGTTTGCTGCATCTATCACCCCGTCATCTCCATTAGGTATTTCTCCTAATGCTATCTCTCCCCAATTCCCCAACCCCCTGCTATGCCTCCCCTAGCCCGATCAATGATATGCCCTGGTGTGTGATATTCCCCTCCCTGTGGCCATGTGTTCTCATTGTTCAACACCCACTTATGAGTGAGAACATGTGGTGTTTGGTTTTCTGTTCTTGTGTCAGTTTACTGAGAATGATGGTACCAATACCATGCTGTTTTGATTACTGTAGCCTTGTATTATAGTTTGAAGTGAGGAAGCATGATGCCTCCAGCTCTGTTTTTTTGTTTTTTGGTTTTTTTTTTGCTTAGGATTGTCTTGGCTATGGGGGCTTCTTTTTGGTTCCATACGAAGTTTAAGGTGATTTTTTCCAATTCTGTGAAGAAAGTAAATGATAGCTTAATGGTGATAGCCTTGAATCTGTAAATTAATTTGGGCAGTATGGCCATTTCCACAATATTGATTCTTTCTAACCATGAGCATGGAATATTTTTCCATCTGTTTGTGTCCTCTCTTATTTCCTTGAGGAGTGGTTTGTAGTTCTCCTTGAAGAGGTCCTTCACATCCCTTGTTAGTTGTATTCCTAGGTATTTTATTCTCTTCATAGCAATTGTGAATGGGAGTTCACTCATTATTTGACTCTCTGTCCATTACTGGTGTATAGAAATTCTTGCATTTTTGCATATTGATTTTGTATCCTGAGACTTTGTTGAAGTTGCATATCAGCTTAAGGAGCACAGTCTGACCAAATGCCCCATTCATTCCACAATCCTGTCCTACTGAGGGTCAACTATTTCAGTAACTTCAGAATTAAATTTTCACCTTCAATTCAAGGTCTTAGGTGGTTTTTAAAGTACATTTAATACTATAAATGTTAAATTGCTACTATGAATGACGTTTCCAAACTTTTTTCTAGATTGTTTCTGCTAAATGCTCAACATGGCCTATAGGAATCCTTTTGAAACTTTCTGAAATCTCATCTCATTCTAGGCTCATCCCCATTGACTGGAATGAGAGCTCCAGGTCTCTGGCTTCTTTGGATTCCTCTAAAGTTTCACAAGCTGTTTGCACATGCTCATCCTTTTTTGTCTCTACTGCTCCCCACCCACACCCAACTTGCTTTCAGTTACGCTAGGTCTTCATCTCTCAGCTTAAATGCTACCTCCTTTGAGAAGCTATGCCTGGACACTCTACCCCCAAGTCAGAAGAGGTTTCTTTGTTAAACTCATGGCATAATCTATCTTGTCATTGTGGTATTTGTACTTTTGTTTGTCCTATCATTTAGCTAATATAAAATTCCTAATCATTGTATTTTCAAGTTTCTTGAGGCTGTAATCATATTTAATTTTGTTTGCAGTTGTTCTCTGAGCACTTGGCACAGAACCTGGCACCTAATAGGTACATAATAAATATTTAATTAATAAATGATTAGTATACACAGGAATATATATGGTAAGTCCTCATGGATAGATTCTTGAAAAGTGTGACTTTAAGTGAAACAATGTGCTGTATGTACTGTATGCTGTAGGAACTTAACTCTTGTTTGTGTCTATTAACCTATGGTAAAATTGGTTTTACTATCCAGTTTGTCAGTTCACTTAAAGTCACAGTTTCCAAGAACCTGTCAATAAGTGAGGACATACTGTACTCTAACTTAAAAATTTCTTATGTATTAATTATATTTTTTCCTTTTCTAAATGTACATTACTTTAGTCTGGAGCTCCCCATATTAAATTCTGATTTCCACTGGAAAAACTAAAGGAGCTGTTATAAATGATGCCTGGTCATTCATAATCCGAACTTTGGTATTTATTACAAGCCACCTTCTATGATAGGCACTGAAAATCCAAGGATGAATAGTCTATGTTGCACAAATTTTACTCTTAATTGTGAACATTTATATTTCCTTCTTCAGTTGACCTATTATGGATTTCAGATATGTCACCAAAAAGTAAAGTTACCCAATAAAATTTGTCTTTGTAAATACAGAAGGAAAAAGCAATTAAGTACATAAAAGTACTTAATGTTGGTCATGCTGGCACAGAAAATTTACTGGTCAATACACATTCACAGTTATTTAATGGCCTCCACCAGTAACCCTTGATATTGCCATACAAGCCTCTGAAATATAATTTATTAGTAAAAACAGGGAGTATTATTGGCTCCTATTCTTGAGCAGCTACAACTCTGCTATTTTAATAAACGACCTCTCATGTAATTTTTTAAAGTGTTTAATTTTCATCTGCTGAATATGTCTAAGTACAGTAGTCAATTAGAAGAGGTGGAAAAAGGATTCTGATTTCAGAAATCACATGAGGATCACACATATAACAAAAATAATGAAAAAAATATAATCTAACATGTGATTTTACTTTGTAATTGTGACATAATCATTTATTAGTGTCATTAATGCTCATGAAGATAATGTTCTCCATTTTAAACACTCAGTGAGCAGTAACCTGATTTTTCTAGAATTTCATTCTTTAGGAGGGCTTTCTTCTGTGTTTTTGAAGTTGCCCATAAGAGTTATGTCATTACATATAACCAAGGAAACCACAGGAAACTTGGTTGCTAGGAAACCCCTGAATTGTCTTGATGAAGATCACCGCAGTAGGCTTGGCTTGAATAGAACAGATGCCAGGAAAATAAAATTACGAAGTTACAGTCACTTTTTAAAAAAACCTAGGATGCCTTGTTAATTGGCAGTTAAATCTTTTCACCTAGAGAAACTAGAAAAACTGTTTGTCATGTCTAAAAGGCTATCATATAGGTGGAACGGGGGCCACAGCAGGGTGCTGTTGAGGGCACTGTGATAGTGTGTGAGACTCTGCTCCAATGCACACATTTTTTTCTTTTCCCAATTAATTTGGCTACCTAGGGAAATGGGTGTGGTGACAGCTACTGTCACTTCGACTGAAGGATAGATTTTAACGAAAACACACTTGTAATTAAACATGTTCAGACCTATGGCTTTCAGCATTCTCTAGTTTCCTTCATACAGAGTAAAAAAAGTCAGTGCCTCTTTCCTAAAAGTATTAAGATGCTTTTTAAATTAAGAGTTTCATAATGTCAGTCTCTCTCTCTCTCTCTCTCTCTCTCTCTCTATCTATCTATATACAAATACAAATATATATACATATAGTTTGTCATCTAAGACCTCAGTGAACTTGTAACTATTTGTGCCTCTGAGTAATTTGACTATGATAACATTTATAAGAACAAAGGAATGGCCAAAGTTGGTCAAGCTGCTGAACCATCCAACATAAGTCCTTTCTTAGAGTATGAGGTGATAGGCCACCCAAAGTCCCTCTCAAATATCATACTTATGTTCCCATGATCTGTCCGGCCCTCCATGGTACATTGTTTATGTATTTATAAATCTATCGATACCTATTTAGAATCTAAATATATTTCCAGCTGTATCATTCCTGGAAGAAATAGGCTTTATAGCTTGACCACACCATCATAAGACATGATACTCCTTTTATACCAAGCCTACTTCCGAAGGTAATCTTTTATTTCTACTATTCTACACATACATTTGCCTTATTAGTACTCTTGTCTTTCTACAGTTTTGTTTTCTGTATATTAATTAAGGTCACTTTGTCCTGAAATTCCTATCTCTTCCATGATACCAGCCATTTTGTTTTTCAAATTGAAATTATGAGATGTAATCCTATCATCCCTTCCTCTTTTTTTCTAAGAGTTGAGTTTGTCATCTACATAGATCAAGGATACAGGAGATGTTTTTCCATAAGAAGAGCTTGAATTTTAGTTTATATACAAATAGATAAAATCTTGTGTGACCAATGCTCATGTTTAGGAAGAATCAATATCATGAAAATGGCCATACTGCCGAAGTTAATTTATATATTCAATGCTATCCCCATCAAGCTACTATTGACCTTCTTCACAGAACTGGAAAAACCACCTTAAACTTCATATGGAACAAAAAAAGAGCCCACTCAGCAAAGACAATCCTAAGCAAAAAGAACAAAGCTGGATGCATTCATGCTACCTGACTTCAAACTATACTACAAGGCCACAGTAATCAAAATAGCATGGTACTGACACCAAAACAGAGATATAGACTAATAGAACAGAACAGATGCCTCAGAAGTAATGCCACACATCTACAGCCATCTGATCTTTGACAAAGCTGACAAAAACAAGCAATGCGGAAAGGATTCTCTATTTAATAAATGGTGTGGGGAAAACTGGCTAGCCAGGTGCAGAAAGCTGAAACTGGGCCCCTTCCTTATACTTTATACAAAAATTAACTCCAGATGGATCAAATATTTAAACATAAGACCCAACATCATAAAAACCCTAGAAGAAAACCTAGGCAATACCATTCAGGACAGAGGCACAGGCAAGGACTTCATGACTAAAACACCAAAAGCATTGGCAACAAAAGCCAAAATAGACAAATGGGATCTAATTAAACTTAAGAGCTTCTGCACAGCAAAAGAAACAATCATTATAATGAAACGGCAACTAACAGAATGAGAAAAAAATTTTGCAAGCTACCCATCTGATAAAGGACTAATATCCAGAATATACAAAGAACTAAAACAAATTTACAAGAAAAGGAAAACAACCCCATCAAAAAGTGGGCAAAGGATATGAACAGACACTTTTCAAAAGAAGACATTTATGTAGCCAACAAACATATGAAAAAAAGCTCATCATCACTGGTCATTAGAGAAATGCAAATAAAAGCCACATTGAGATACCATCTCATGCCAGTTAAATGGCGATCATTAAAAAATCTGGAGACAACAGATGCTGGAGAGGATGTGGAGAAATAGAACACTTTTACACTGTTGGTGGAAGTGTAAACTAGTTCAACTATTGTGGAAGACAGTGTGGTGATTCCTCAAGGGTCTAGAAATAGAAATTCCATTTGACCCAGCAGTCCCAATACTGGGTATAT